CCGTTTTCTCTACCATATATCACTAACTCTAACTATTATCATGAAGTGCAATGAAATGTTTCAAATTAAGAATTTGAAATATATACAAACCTTTTATCTCTTCGTTGAATAATCTTAAAATATCTTCATTGGCTCATATGCATAATTTCACTTCTTTACTTTTTCACTTATAGTTTATTTTTTATTTTCCTTATCTTTGATTGTTTACGTGGACACATGCCACGTAGTGCCTACTTTAGCCTCCGGCAAAATGTTTTGCACTCACCTATTTCTCTAGACCTTTGAGGAGAAAAGCAGAGATTAGATATATTTTTAACAAATCAAGAAACCCACATTGATACGAAAGCAGCCACGTTTAAAAAACTCTGATCATCAGTCTCCACCTCAATTTGTTCCTGTACCTCGTTTTCTGACTTTACATTCTAAATCTGATAAATCGTTAGGACAATTGTCTCCCTTTTTCATTCAAACAGATTAGAGGGGCCTGCTGGCTCTCCAAAGGCAGCTAAGAAGCTACATTCTGGGGACATCTTGGTGGAAATATCTACATAAAAATAAATTGAACTCTTCCTGAGTTCGAAGACCATTGAGGATATACCTATTAAGATTACTCCCCATGCTACTTTGAATTCCTCCCGAGGAGTGAGCTTTGAGAGGGATTTACGGAACATCCCCGAGTTGGAGATCCTTGTTGGTTTCTCCAGCCAAGGAATTTCTGCTGTGCGACGTATCTCCACTCATAAAGAAGGAATTATGCTGTTTAACAATGTTCTTGTGTTAACATTTACATGCCACATCCACCTGCCACTGTTAAGGCAGGTTATTTGAACTGTAACATATGGCCTTGTATTCTCTCAGGTGTTTCCAGTGTCAGCAGTTTGGATAATCTAAGGCATCTTGTCATGTTTATTTGACATGTGCTCATTGTGGTGGCAAAGACTATGATTCCTACAAGTGTCAACTGGACCCTCACTGTGTCAGTTGTGGTAGTTCCCATCCACATACCCTAAGTGGGTGGAAGAAAAAGAGGTACAACATTTATGTACTATCAATAACATCTTTTATCCCAAGGCCTGGAAGTTGTTGTCTCCGGTTCCATCTCGGACAAATACTCTTGCACTCTGTTCCTCTGCAACAGTGGGAGTGCAGACAGATCTTTCCGTGCCTCCATCAGAATATTTCTCACACCATGTGAAAACTCTTTTGCTCACTGTGCATGCAAGAGTTGACAAGGGTAAATCTTTTCTTGTCACTGTCCCCACCATTGCATTCAGTTACTGTTTGGGTCCATCTCCTTCGTCACTGAGGTGAGGAACCATTATTCGGTCATCCACTCAGTCTCTGCAGTCTCGTTCCTCTGACAGAGATCTGCCCAATTGACCTAGGACAAGTTGCATGTAGGTTGACAGACCTCTTTCCACTAAAGAAAAACGTCATGGTCACAAACGAAAGAGTTCTCTGCCCATTTCTCCTCCTTTTAAGTAAAAATGGCCACTTTGATACAGTGTAACTGTCCAGTTTTTGTTCTAATTGCCTTGGTCAGTTCCTATCAATCCGTGTGCCTCTCCTTGCAAGAAACATTCTCTTAGCCTGATGATACTGTCACCTTTCGGCAGTTGTCCTTGCACAGGAATGACAGGTTGTGTGATGAGTCAGTTCATGGAGGTGTGGCACTGCTTGTTAACCAGCACGTACCCACCATGTCTATGCCATTCTATACAACCCTGGAGGCTGTAGCCATAGAAATCCCTATGGGCTATACCATCACTATGTTCTCTTTACCTGTCACCAGGAGAGATTTACGATCAATCAGACATTAACACTCTTATAGAACTATTGTCATCTCCCTTCTTCATCTTGGAAGACATTAATGGACACAATCCTCTCTGGGTTGGTGCTGATATTGATGGGAGGAGTCGTTCTGTGGAGTCTAGGTTCTTAGATCACAACCTTTCTCTCTTTAATACGGGTTCTTTTACATGTTTTCACACACGTATTTAGTATTTTACTGCTATTGATCTATCTTATCTGTTCACCTTCACTTTTTTCTCTTTTTTTCTTAGAGGGTTGACAGTGACCCATGGGGAAATGATCATTTTCACATTACTGTGATGGAGATTGGCAGTTGGAGCAGTGTCACTGGCTCTCCTTTACTGCTCTCTCTGAACTTGATCCTGCTGTTGTTGGTCTTCCATCTATTAATGACTGCTTGAAGGCAGTAATTGATTGTATTATTCAAGCAGCTGTTCATTCTATCCTCAAACCCTCAACATGTTTCCCACAAAATACTCAGAAACAGTCCTGGGATATCTTTCACGGGTATCCCACTTTTTCACACCACATTGCTTTCCAGAAGGCTCGTGCCCATGTCTAACTGGTCAGGAACCAGAGCCAGAAAGAATCCTGGATTAAGTTCATTACCAGCATCTCTTCTGCTAGTTATCAGTTCCCAAGCCATCTAGGACAAGATTTGGAAGGTTAATGGGAAGTATGCTTCCAATCCCCTTTCCATCCTGCTCTCCAATGGCCAGAAAGTTGTTGATGTACAGAGTATCGCCTATATTCTTGGGGAGTGCTTTTCCCACCTTTCCAGCACTTCTCCCGCTTTTTTGGCTATCAATTCGCTGGCTGAGGGATTTCAACTTTTCTTTCAGGCAGATCATCTCTATGATTATAATATCACATTTACACTGGTGGAACTTAAGCTTACTCTTTATTGGTCTGGTAGTAAATCAGTCAGACCTGATGATGTTCACTATGAAATGCTGTGCCATCTCTGTACTGCCTCTCTTGCTCTTCTTGTGGTTATTTTTATCCAAATTTGGCAGAAGAATGTTTTTCCAGATGCTTGGTACAAGACTATTATTCTCTCTTTTTCAAAGCCTAGGAAGGATCCCAAGATTCCTTCAAGTTATCATCCAACTCCTTTGACTAGCTGTCTCTGTAAGGTTTTGAAGAGGCTTGTTATTGTACATCTTGTTTGGTTCCTTGAATCAAACAACCTCCTCTCGCTCATATAATGTGGTTTTAGTTGACAGTGCTTCACTGTGAACCACCTGCTTAATCTAGAAACCTTGATCAGGGAAGCTTTTCTCAAGAGAGAACATCTTGTTTCTATCTTCTTTAATGTTAAGAAGGCTTACGACACTACTTGGAGGTTTGGCATTTTGCATGACCTCCATTCATATGGGTTGAATGGCCATCTACCCATTTTTTGTAACCTTTTACTTGACCAGAGTTTCCAGGTCCATGTGGGTTTGACTCTGTACCGATCTTTCACATATGAACTTGGAGTCCCTCAGGGCTGTGTCTTGAGTGTCGTACTTTTCAGTATTAAGATCAGTGCTCTCACTCAACAACTTCCTCCTCCAGTTGCAAACAGCCTCTACATTGATGACTTCCACATTTCTTATCAGTCATCAAACATGAGATTTATTGAGTGGTAGCTTCAGACTGCTCTCACTCGCTTGTTGAGGTGGGCCAGG